CTCCTCCAAAAAAGGCAAATTAAATCTCTCCAATAAAGAACTTTCTACAATTCAATAATATGACAAGCAGTCCAGATAAATTGACAAACAATTGGAAAGTTGTTTTTAAAAAAGATATATAAATTGTCAGTTGAGGATGGGAGTGGAGAAAAAGGGGAAATTGGTCTATTCTTTGTCTATTTCTGTATTTTTTTTTAAATGCTGTTGCAAGCATGAGTACTGACAAGAGATTTTCGCATATTGAGGTTTATGGGGTAACTGTTTAGGTTTAAAATTTATTTCCCTTGAACTAAAGAAGCTTGACTTATGGCCTATCAAACATACATTGTACATCTGCTTTAACCATTAAAGTAAAGAATGCACTCTCTTAAGATAAGAATGCATACTTCCCCTCTTACACCCTATTGGTAATGCCCTATTGGTAATGCCCATATTAGCCCCTTTCCAGACATCAGGGTCATATAGACCTGCTAATTTGCAACTAAATACCTCTTTGAAACTTTGGTGAAAATGTATCCTGGGTGTGTTTAATGTATGTTCTTTGTTCTAAAAAGGTACAAGACTGTACTGAAAACCATGCCTCTCTGGAATGCTTTCTTCCTTTCTGGAAGAGGCTTTCTGTGGTTATAACTCTCTGGCTCAAGTAAAGCACCTCATTTCTCTTATCTATAGAATGGTTATTGGTTATTTTGCATTGAGAATACTATGAAAGTATGAATTATAAAATGATAAAAATTTGAAAAAGCTACAACTTTTTTAAAGAAAACAAATCAACATAGCATGTAGAAATCCATGTTTTCATCTTAATAAAGGACATAAATAAATCCTTGTTCCATAATTAGGAATCTTGCAGTGTTCAGTAGTCATCATTCTATGCAATAAATAAATAAATAGATAAAATTTAAAAATAAACGTAATTGGTCAGGGAGAAAAACAAGCCAGCCTGTATAGACAGAACCTTAGAATCACAACATAGTTTATAAATTTCCCATAAGTCAGCACACCAAAATAAGAGAACAGTGTAGCCTGATTTCCAGATTGCTACAAACTATCACAACTACCTTCTTTGGGACTTTTTCCTTTCCGAGAGGACACTGATAATTGTTTTACTTTGACTTTGCTAAGACTGGTATATTTTGGTTTGGGATTATGGAGAGGCCCTCCCCAAGTAAGTTATTTCCACTAGGTGCTCCAAATTGTATTTATCATTGACCTGACGTATGATTAATGCGTGTATATACATATTTGAGATGGTTCTGTGCACTGAAGATACAGCAGTAAATAAGTCATACAATTTTCCTTCCCTGGCAGAGCTTTTATTTTTGTCAGGGAGACAGGTAATATGCAATAAGTGATTTAGATTAGATAGATCGGTATATGATAGATAAATTAGATTAGACGATAAGTAGATAGATAGATATAGACAGACAGATATGGTTGTACGTGTTACATAGAAAAATAAAGTATGTTGGAGGATAGAAGTAGCTGGGTAATAGGGATGTGAACAGTGAGAGGATGGACAGGGAAACGTGTCTGGAACAAAATGGATCACAGATTTATATGAAAAATGCAAAACTATAAAACTCCTAGAAGATAACATAGGAGAAAATCTAGAGGAAGTTAGGTTTGGTGATGACTTTTTAGATACAACACCAAATGACAATCAATGAAAGAAACAACTGATAAGCTAGACTTCATTAACATAAAAAAAAATTCTGCTCTGTGAAGGACACTATCTAGAGAACAAAAGACAAGCCACAGGCTGGAAGAGAATATTTGCAAATGACATATCTGATAAGGGAATATTAACTAAAATATACAAAGAACTGTTAACACACAACAATAAGTAAACACCTGATTTAAAAATAAACCAAAGATCCTAGCAGACACCTCACCAAAGAAGATATACAAACAGCAAATAAGCATATGAAAAGATGCTCCACATTGTATGTTATCAGGAAGATGCAAACCAAAACAACAATGAGATACCACTACACACCTATTAGAATGGCCAAAATCCAAAACACTCACAACACCAAATGCTGTGGACGATGCAGGGCAACAGGAAGTCTCATTCATTGCTGGTGGGAATGCAAAATGGTACAGCCAGTATAGAGAAAGTTTGGAGGTTTCTTTTGGATGTATGTATGTATGTACCTGTGTGTATATATATGTGTGTGTGTGAGAGAATATATATTATATGTGTATATATATACCTTTTATTTTTTGACATACAAAAAGCTGTATATATTTAATGTGTACAACTTGATGACTTGATGAGTTTGGAGCTAAGTACACACCTGTGAAACCATTACCACAGTCTATGCCATAAACATATCCATAACCTCCAAAAATTTCCTCCCATCCTCTTTGTTTATTACCATTTTTTGTGTGATAAGGAAACTTAACAAAAGATCTACCCTCTTAGCAAATTTGTAAGTGTAAAATATTGTATTGTTACAAAACTAAACATATTCTTATCACATAATCCAGCCATTGCACTCAATGGTATTTACCCAAAGGAGTTGAAAACTCATGTCCATGTAAAAACCTGCACATGGATGTTTATAGCAGCTTTATTCATAATTGCCAAAATTTAGAATCAACCAAGATGTCTTTCAGTAGGTGAATGGATAAATAAAATAGACATTGGAATATTATTCAGTACTAAAAAGAAATGAACTATCAAGCCATGAAAAGAAATAGAGGAAGCTTAAAGGCATATTACTAAATGAAAAAAGCCATTCTGAAAAGGCTACATACTCTATGATTCCAACTCTATGACATTCTTGAAAAGGAAAAACTATGGAGACAGTAAAAAGATCCGTGAGGTAACAGGAAAGGACGGGATGAAGCAGAGCACAGAGGATATTTAGGGCAGTGAAACTACTCTGTATAATACTACAATGGTGGATATATGTCATTACGCATTTTTAAAAACCCTTAGAATGTGCAACACCATGAGTGACCCCTAATGTAAACTATGGGCTTTAGGTGATAATGATAATCAATGTAGGTTCATCACTTGTAACAAATGTACTACTCTGGTGGGGGATGTTGATAGTGGGGGAAGGTACCAGGTGCAGGGGATATATGGGAAATCTCTGTGCCTTCTTATCAATTTTTTTGAACCTAAACTGCTCTAAAAAAGTAAAATCTATTAAAAATGTCTGCAAAGGTAAAATTTAAGCTGAGAATGGATAATTTGAAGGAGTCAGCAATGTAAAGTGGACAGGTGTCAAGAGTTCTCTTTGGGACCTGTTAATTTTGAGATACCTGAAAGAGAGTCGAGTAGATGCTTTAATGTTTGTATATATGAATTTGGAGCTGAGTGGAGAAGTCAGTACTGGGTTTAAAATGTAGGATTCAACAGCATAAGAATAGTATATAAAGCCATGGGAATGTGTGGAATAACTCAGTGAAATATATAGACAGAAAAGAGAAGAGAGGCTAAGATAAAAAGACACTGCTCTTGAAATTGGCTGCATGAAGGTTCTTGGTGACCTTGGTGCATTTCAGCAGAATGGTAAAGGCAGAAGCTCAATGTTCTTTCCCTATACATTAAATTTGAATCTAAAAGTTGACTTTTGAATACCATGTTAGATAGACTGAAATAATAATCTTAAAGACTTTGTTTTTAGAAGAAAAGGGGGATTTAAAATGATTCCTTAAATTCTCAGAGAGATGCTAACCTTTCCAGAAAAGTTTGAAAATCTGAACATAGAATTTTACTACAAGCAGAGGGAGAATGAGGAGTTTCCTAGAAGGGAGAGAGAACAGTGGGTCAGGATTTGACTCGCTTTGTCATTACAGCTGATCTCAATCAGCAAGGTAGGGCCTCCTGGAAGACCATGAGTTACAATAGCCAGTAAGCCTTGAGTAGTTGATGTAGGGGACAGGGACCAATGTTTAAAGAGCAGGCGAAACAATTATACCTCACTGTTCATAGAAAGCTAGCTCTTGACAGCATGTGAAATAGGAGTCCCTTTGTTTAATATCAAGGAGAAGCTTTATCTTGCATGCAGAGTTTATACTGTGAAGGATAAAGGGCAGAGAAAATCAGCAAGTTCTGCAACAATGTTGAGTTTAGACTGAGAGAGAACATTTGAAATCAGAAAAGATTTAATTGCCACTAATTGGGAAGTCCAAGGGTTTTGCATTTTGCTTTATATTATTTTTTATTTTTCTTCATATTAATAGGGCTTATGGGTCACAAAAGAGTTTAATATAGTTATAAACATATAAAGTTAATTGTTTTCACATATAAATAATATCATGTAGATATTTTCACTCTTAGACTGTTGAATTCTGATTAATTTGGTTTTGTATACACATTTAGCAATTTATCAGGAATCTCTTTAATATGCCTCATTTAAATTTACTCACATTTGTAATTTGGAAAATTTTGATTTTCATCCTTCTTTAAACAGAGAGAGGTTGTTCACTATTTTCTGTTTAAAAAAAAAAAAACTCTAAATGAGTAATTGTTAAAGTTATCATACAACATAAGCCAGTCTCTTCTCCCTCACGATAAATGTCTGTACTTCCTTTAACCTTTTCACTGACACTTTCTGAATCTTCATTCATGTAGTGTTCCCACCAGATTCTTCAAATATTTCTTGTAATGAGAAAACCCAAACTTGATAAAACTGTAGTAAAAACCTAATCAGCAGATTACAGAGATATTTTTAAGAATGTTGTCTCAATTCAAACCTTTAAATTGATTCGATTATTCTTTATTCATTTATCATTTGGCTTGAAATAAAACAAAACTAACTTACCAGTTGTATTTAGCTGAGTGTGCAAGTGGAACATTCGACATCCATCCACCTGGTTGTGGCTGTTTACACTTCAGAGAGGGTGGTATAGGCTCACATGGAAGTAATAATATTTTCTTTTTTTTTTTTGAGGAATGCTACTTTTAATTTGTATTCATATTTATTTGAAAGTGAACTTTCTGAAATTCGTTTAACTTCCTCACATGGCTCCTATATTTCTTTATTTAAATCTCTGGATGCAGCTTCAGATCATTAGAATCTATGGATTCAACATACGCCTACTTGGATTTTTTTGAAGACTTTGTTGATTTATTTTTTTGGATCTGCAGATTCAGCGTCATTAACTTTTACATCCTTATTTGAATAGTCTTCTTTGAATCTTTCTAGGGATCTTTCACTGAATCCTTTATATCCCCAAATTTAGCATAAGTATCCTTCAAGTCCTTCAATGAATTATCTCTTAATTTTTATTAACATGTTACATTTTTAATGAAGCTTCTCTGAGTCTTTCTTTGTATTCTTCTTTACTCCATTTAAAAAAATATTTGATTAATTCATTGAACTCCCCTTTACTCTCATAGATTCAGTTGCAGACTACTAAAATTGTTTTATCAACTATGCTTTTGAATTATTATCCAAGGGCTACTTGCCCTTCTTTGCATCCTTCTTTGCATCCTTCTTTGCATCTTTCTTTGAATCCTTTGCATCAGCAGATTCTGTGTCAGTATCCTTTTTGGCATCTTTCTTGGCCTCGTCCTTTGATTTGCTATCTGTCTTACCGGGCTTCTTTTCATCTTTCTTTTCTTTTTTACTCCCCTTCCCCTTTGCATTTTTCTTGTCCTTTGATTCATCACCCTTCTCATTGGGTTTCTTTGTGTCTTTTTTCTCGGCCTTATCCTTCTTTGCATCCGTTTTTTCACCTTCAGATTCTGTAGCTGACTCCTTGCCCTTCTTTGCATCTTTCTTATCTTTTTTGGAACCTTTCTTTACACCCTTTTTCTCATCTTCGGATTCGGTAGCTGACTCTTTGCCCTTCTTTGAACCTTTCTTATCTTTTTTGGAATCTTTCTTTGCATCTTTTTTCTCATCTTCAGATTCGGTAGCTGACTCCTTGCCCTTCTTTGAACCTTTCTTATCTTTTTTGGCATCTTTCTTTGCATCCTTTTTCTCATTTTCAGATTCTGTAGCTGGCTCCTTGCCCTTCTTTGCATCTTTCTTGTCTTTTTTGGCATCTGTTTTTGTAATGTCTTTTTCGCCTTTAGTGCCTATTTCTATATCCTTGTCTTTCTTTGCATCTTTTCTTAACTCCTGTAAAGCTGTGGGTTCTGTTTCTGAATCTGACTTTTTCTTGTTTTCTGCCTTCTTGTCTTCTCTATCTTTCTTACCTAAGGGCTTCTGTACACCAGCATCTTCCTTGGGGCGATGAGTTGATTTAGATGGAGGCTGTGTCCTGGCAGCTAAATAAGCAGATGGTCCTTCAGAAATTGTCATTAGAGAATGGTGCATCCATAACGGTTGTCTGCGGCCTCCCCTTGATTTATCTTGATTATATTCCTGAAATATTGGTTAAAATAATGATGAACAACTTGGGTGTGAGTGAATAGCCTTTATCACCATATCAAATACATTCTAACTTCAACCATGAAAAGATCTTAGATTTTGATAAATAGTGGATAAATTGTAGAGTTCATAGTTTATTTTGCCTTTCCAAATTCATTCTTTTTTGGACTAATGGATAGTCATGCCTCATTTTGGGCTTAATTTCAATTTAGAGGATCTTCATTATTTCCTCAAGATTTTACATTAAGATTGGTAGAGACCTCCGCTAACTAATGACATATTGAACCTCTCTTCACAATCAGGAGAGAGTTTTTTTTTTTGATTCTGTGTTCTTGAGAATTCTTGGGATGTCTTGCCCACTCTCCATTACTGTGCTAACTCAGAAACTAATTATTCTCTAATATTGAATAGTTTCATGTTCAGGTATATGCTGGTCTCTATCGTCACATTCAAGTTTTCTGGAATGTAGAAGGCTACCTGTGGTTAAAAATAAAAGCCTGAAACTCCTCCTGTTTGGCAAGATATAAATTGAGTATTATCAGATAGGCAATTGCAATAATGAAACCTGTAACATTTAATGCACATTAGTTTGTATAGAATGGTGCATTTTGTTTTCAACTTCAAATATTTGCAAAAGCTTAATTGCAAAAATAGCAAATTCTGGAAAGAATGTTAACAAACAATGGAAAAATAAATTGAATGAAGAAAGAAAGGAATGGAAAAGAACATGAGAAGACAGAAGAAACCTGGATCACTACAGATTGGATACATTTTCTAAAATAAACCAGAGTTGATGATACATTTGTCTTGTGAAAACTTTTCTTGGAACATTTTCATATCCCATGATGACTCTGGAAACATTGGGAGATATTTATCTTCCAATATTCAGAATCCTAAATTCTCTGTTACAGGAAATGAGGAAGCATGGAAACTTCATCAGGTTATAGAGTAACTCCATGATTCTAATGAGGGAGTTTCTCCAGCAGGAGAAAATTTTCTGAATGTTCATATTAACTGTAGCATTAGGATCTCCAGACTTTTGTGCTCCTTGGATACATATTTTCTATAATGTGGGGTTACTGAACAAATCGCTAATATGAAATAAGAGGACAATTTTTACACAGCAAAATGCAGGTAAAATAGATCTTTCTACTTTCTCCAAATAGTAAAATTTGAATTACCTTTAACTGTGCTATTCAATTTGGTATTCAAAAGTCACACCTGAATTGAAATGAAATGTAAAATTTAGTTCCTCAGTTACACTAGCCTGATTTCAAATGCTCAAGAGCCACACTGGAATGCAAAGATATAAAATATTTCCAGCATCATTGAAACCTCATCGGTCAGTGTTTATCTGTAACATATATAACTGTATATGCTTTCACAAGTTTATTACTAGTAAAATTATGTGACCTTTTCAGTACTCACAGGAATTCTCTTATCTCTTAATAGGGAAGGCATTGATCTCCGTTTTCTTCCTGGCCGTGGCGGTTTGGGAAATGCCAAGGCAAAGTATTGCTGATTCCATGATTTTCTGTTTACTTCACTGACTAAGATGAGAAAATATTAAGCACACACTTTGGAGTAAATAGAATTTCTTCAGAATTAAAATCGGTAAGGTAATACATTTCATGTAAATGAATAAACAAATGATTCAAATTGTGACTTCATTTATTTGGTGATGTTTGAGATTCTCTGCTAATAATAGGAGAAAATAAAAATTGATTTTTCTATTTTGACCAGCTTTACAGATGACTATATAAAGTAGTCATTGTGAAACTAATATAGTCTGTAATATAAATGGAAGGAAACAGTTTTGCTCCTTCCTTTTCATCTTTCTATCTCTGCCAGTCTAGGTTTTTGCTTTGTACTCTTTTATTTAGAATACAATTCTATTGAGAACAGAAATATGATAACTACTTCTGTATCCCCTAAAGTACTTAGCACAGTACCTGTTATAAAATATTTCATAAATGTATGATTAAATCTACATGCTGATGCTTAAGATCGTCTTAGTTGGTAATCATTTTCCAAGCTACAAGAGTAAATGTTATATACCCAAGAACTGCGTTTTTATAGGTGGCATGTTAATGAAGAAAATTGACAAATAAAGAGTACCTACAGAATTGGGATTGGGAGGGTAAAGTTACTTGGAAACTATACTAGAAATAGTTAAAGACATTTAGGTTTCCATGAGACCAATGAGAGAGATATCCCCACTCTATTTAAATATGTGCAATAATACTATGTGTAAGAGAAAATAGACTTGTCCTGTGAGTCTACTAAAGACAGAATCAGGATCAGTGAGAAAATATGCACAATGAAAGGCACATTTAGTCTCAGTGTATGAGGAAAACTCACTTGATATATGACGTCCTTCAAAATTCAATTGACAGTCCTTGTCAATTAATGAATTTTTTTTACCAATTATAAGCCTGATAAAATCTATCAGGAATGGGGTAGAACACATTCCTGATATTGGTAAGAAGTTGTTTATCCAATTTCTACATTGCCTTTCAACAGTAAGATTATCTGATTGTATGATTTCTAACCTGTAAATATGTCCACATTTATGTTGCTGAACATATTTGGTTAATCTTCTTTGGATTTAAAAACAAAATATCCTTAGAAGGTGCTCACTGAGCCCGTGAGAAAGGTGTCTTGGAAAATAAAAAGGTGATATTTAATAATACTGCATGACAGCTATTGCTTTATCACTTTCAATGGAGGATAATAATCACTTATCCCTAAAATTAATCATACAGTTAAAAAAAATTTTTTCTTAAACTATTTCTTACCTGGAATGTAATTATCATGGCTCCCAAAGTTTACTTTCTGGCTATTAAAATAAAAGGGAAAGGTTTTAATTAATTTATGCAAAATCACTCTAAAAACATCATTATTATGCATAAGCACTTGCCACCATCAACTAGAGAAATATTTTGCATTCTCAAATCTCTATTGTTATGTGCTATTAATTTATGCCAGAAAAATAGAAATGAGAAAAATGTGTGTTTTTAGCACAGACTTCAACAGAACTAAAAACAAGGTGGATAAAAATATCCGGAAAAAATACCTTACCAACTTACCATATCTGAAATATAGACATTTATTTATTTTTCATCATAAAACCATGATTGAATTATTTTTCTCCTCTTCACACTCCTAATTCTCTTGCAATTGAATTTTAGCTAAGACATCCCTTTAAAAACACTATGGTTAGGTAAAATCAGATCCTCAAAATGCTTAACCAAATCCAAATCATTCAATGGCATACGTGTGTGTCTATGAATGTGTGTGTGTCAGTGTACATCACAGCTATTGATATGGATTTTGATTATTTTTGTTCTCCAGGAAAATCTGGAGATCCCTGATGAGAGCCATGAATTCTCTTATTCTGTATGTTCCAAAATACTATATGATAAAAAATGAAGAATCACATTGAAAAAGTATATATTTTACTGAAGTGAATGAACTAGTTAAGTCTTGAATCAAAACAACCTGTGGTATTGCTTGAGAATGTATGTGTCTGCTAAACACATACTCTCTTGTTTGCTAATGGCATAATAATAATATAACAAACATCTCTTTACATGCAAGAGAATAAATGTAAAGCTAACTAGAATATTTTCATCATTTTAAAACATAAAATTTGACAGGAAGACTTACAATCTTGGTGCAGACATTTCCCCCACTTGTGATTTGCCAGAAATTCAGTACTGTAAGTTCAAATAGTGATGTTGAGTGGTGACATCATAAAGAAACCAAGGGCACTGGCAGTTAAAGGGGAAAAACAAGAGGGGCCACTTGTACTTGTGTTTTAAAATGTTCTCTAATATTCAGTCTAAGATTGGTGTTTGCTTTCGCTCATTATTGCTGACTAAATACAACTGGTAGTTTTAAAATTGATTAATTTTACATCTTAAAAATATGTTTCAATTTTTCATGTAGCTTTTATATATTGACTGATATGAGAAATGGATGAATCTACACATGTATCTATTAAGATCAGTTGTAATCCTAACTTCCCTGACATTCATGTGTCTTTGCTTAAACCCTTTGCAATATGGGTTACATTGTCTTTTCCATCTTAACCTTATGCGTTGCTCATAGGTACAAAATTTTAAAGAAGGCTAGATGCTTATTAAAATTATCAACTTACTGATAGAGCTGAGTCAGATAATTTTTATTCCACCCACCACTCCACCCCACTAAATAGATGAATAGAAATACTATATAATAGAGTAATATTTGAACATGTTGCCATTATCTAGCTCCTTTTAGGGAATTTCAACGGATTTTTTTTCCCTTAAGGAATAGTTTTATTAAACTTCAGCTACTGTAAGAGATAAACTACAAAAATCTCAGTGGTTTTACTCAATGAAAATTTCTCTCATGTCTCAGACCATGGTAAGTTTTAGAGGGGTTGGGGTGGGGAGATTCCATAAGGTGATTTAGGAATTCAGGTTTCTCTGATCTCATTGCTTCACTATCCACTAACTTAACACTATTAATGCTGATGTTTTCCTGCAAAGTGGTGATTCAAAAAACAAAGTATGATTTCTAAATCCACAATATTTTGTTTAGGATTTTATACCTTGTTTATGAAAGTATTTATACCCAATGCATTTCTTCTCTTAGCATGTAGTAGGATCCAAATCATGACTGGGCAGCCAACAATGCTTGCTTTCTGCACCATGACCTTTCGAATTAGTCTCTCGTCATTCTTAACTAAATGTGTGTGATCTATTAAGACCTTAGAGATCTAATGATGATTTTATAATAAGCCTGCTTTAGTTTTCTATTGCTATATAACAAATTACCAGAAATTTAATGGTATAAAACAAAACACATTTATAATCTCATAATTCTATAGTTCAGAATCTCAGGCAAGTTCAACTGAATCCTCTGCTCAGTGTCTCACAGGCTGAAATCAGTTTGTTGACTGGACTGGGCTCTTATCTGGAGGCTCTGAGGAAGAATCTGTTTCCAAGAGACATTCCAGTTGGCAGAATTCAGTTGCTTGTGGCTGTAGTTCTGATGTCTGTGTTTTCTTGCTTGCTGTTAGCATCAGCTATGAGTTGCTTTCTGCTCCGGGAAGCTGTCTGCATTCCTTCTCACACGACCTCCTCCATCTTCAACCAGCAAGGTTTCATTGAGTCCTTCTCCTAGTTCAAATCTCTGTTACTTTTCTGCCTTCTGCTACTGCTACCAGCTGAGGAAAACTTGGTTTTCTAAAAGGTTCAAGTGATTAGACTAGGCCCACCTAGATAATCTCTCCACTTTAAAGTCAGCTGTATTTCATAACTTAGCATAATCATGAGAATGATATCTTTTCATATTCACAAGTTCCTCCTACACTCAAAAGGAAGGGTCATTGGGGGGTCATTCTTAGAATTCTGCCTACCACAAGCCAAAATTAGACTAAAGACTTGCTTTAGTATTTGAGGCTTATTAGAAACGTATCAGCCTCATATATATTATTTTTAGGTCCTGAGATTTTGCCAAGGTCTATCTAGCAGCAGTACTATCATCACATACAAGCTTTTTTGTTGTTGTTTTTCAAAAGGCCATAGAGCTTAGTAACCGCATCCTCAAACATAAATATTATACTTAAAAATATATAAATATAAATATATGTAGTTTATTTTAAGTGCTTTATAGGTTATAAAATAATCTGTGTACATTAACTCATTTATTTCATATAATAACATAGTAAAAAGGTAAGTTGGTTCTTGATATTCACAGAGTTATTTCCTAACACTGTACAATATGTTGCCAATTTAAAAATATGATATATAATTTTTCCCATGAAATCAATATGTATATAACTGAAATAGATTCTTCAAGCTTGTGATGATTTCAGTAATTCACTTATTTATGTATGTATGCTTGTACTTATGTATATATGTATGATTTGTATATCTATCTATTAACTTATCTATCTATCCCTCCATGTATTCTCAAATTATTTATCCTTCTCTGTGTTGCATAAAAGACTTAAGATATCTAACAAGGGTATATAAATGTAAGAAGAAAATCATTAAATACATTCTAAGATATTTTGTAGAGTATAATACTCTGTATCATTATTATAAAAATTAACCATGAAATTGTGCAAATATCTAAAGTTTTTCTTTTTTATTATTTTTAAATGTGAGTAAAATAAGTGATCAGCATGATAAATTATCGTAAAATGAAGAAACATTTTAACAACTGAGTTGCAAATAGATCATTACTAATAACCTATGATCTATTCAATTTGTTATCATTTATGCCCTCCCTGAAGGTGACCATTATTTTGTCTTATAATAGAATTAATTTGTCTGTTTTTGAAATCTGTATCAATAGTATCAGAATATGTATTTTCTTATATGTGGTTTCTTTCAATATACATTTTTGATATTCATCTATATAGCTGCATATATTTTCAGTTTGTTCATAATTTCTATATATGTATTATTATTTGCAGTATTGTAAGCATTGTATGTATATACCATAGTTTATTTATATATGCTAGAACTGATAAGCATTTATTTTACCTCCAATTTTTAACTGTTAGAAATTATGTTGTTACAAACAATTTTACATGTATATTTTGGCAGACACGATCGTACATTTATGTTGGTGTATAACATATATTAAAGTACTTGGTCATAGGGTATAGTGATAGTCAACTTTAGACAATGCCAAACAGTTTTCCAAAGTGCTTATGTCACTGGCAGTGTATGAGAGCTCCTGTTCATCCATGTCCTCACCAACAGTGGTTACTATGAGTTAATTTTAGTGGCTTTGAAGGTATGTGATTATATATCACTGTTCCTTTAAATTGCATTTTCCTGATTATTAATGGTTAGGAACACTGGTGAAAGGACAAGTCTAGAAAAAACAAAAAAAACCATAACATACCAAAGAACAAAAGTAAGAATTACAGCAACTTTTCATCAAGAATTATGCAAGCCATAGAAATTTTAAAAGTAAAAGAAAGGAAAATATGTAACGTGAAAATACTAATTAGAAGAAAGCTGGAATGACTTTATTAACATTGCACAAAGTAGGCATCAGAGCAAGAAATATAACAGGGATAAAGAGGAACATTACATAAAGATAAATAAGTCAGTTCATTAAGAAGACATAATATTCCTAAATGTTTTGTATCTAAAACCAGAATTTACAGTACATGAAGCAAAAGTAGATAGAACCGAAAGGAGAGAGAGATCGGAAATTTATAGTTGGACACTTTACCACTCTTCTTTTAATAATCAATAGGAAAAATAGAAAACACTAAAAATATAGAAGACCCAACAAACTATCAACCAACTTGCCCTAATTTACATTTAAAATAGTCTAACAGTAGAAGAATACTTATTCTTTTCAAGTTTTCAGATAAATATACAGCTTTCATCAAAATAGAGCATATTATCAACCATAAAAACAAATCTTAAAAATTTACATCATACAAAATGTATTCTTGGCCCATAATGGAATTAAACTAGAAACCAATGACAGATATGTGGAAAGTCACCAAATATTTGGAAATTAAACAAAACTCTTCTAATAGCCGAGACGTCAAGAGGAAGTCAGAAATGAATTTATAAATTTGCTTAACTTTTTATTTTAAACTAATTTTAGAATTGAAACCAGTAAACAGCTAGCCATTGATGATTAAGCAGCTAGTAACCATGGGGGATTGGAATTGCCGCCTCAAAATATGTCTCTGTCTGAATGACATTTTGACCCCCACCCCCACTAACTAACCAAAGAAGTTTGGGATGGGAGGCCTGCCCCTAGAAAAGGCCATCACCATAGACATCTCCAGGTACCTGGGTGGGTCCCTGCTAAGCCCATTCTTAGTTCTGGTTGCCCTTTATAAGAGACATTTACATTTGTAAAGAAAATCTCCATCTGTAAACTTATCTTCTTCCCTGTACCAGGAAGAAGCAGGGGATGGCCTTACCTAGAAACTTATCAGAATGGAAGATGAGGACTTAAATCTGCATGATACACTTACCCATTGTTAACTGTGCTGTTTGGGCAATATGCTATCTGACTCCCACTAGGTTTCTATAGGTAACATCCCCCTGGAGCTGGGGTCACCATGGTAATGGATGTTTGAGCTATTTTTTTCAGGAACTAACCCCTTGTCCACTTCAGGCCAGATTGAGACCACCAACCCATCAACTGGGCCCCACGCAGACATGTGTCCAATAAGTGGCCTTTTGATTGCAAGAGATTGGAACTCCACCCTCAGGGCATGATAATGCCGCCATTCTGTAAACAGGTGTCCTACGAAGAGGCGTGAAGCCTGACTACGCTTGCGCAGATCATCAATTACCTCATCTCTCCTCACTTCCAATCATTTCAGACCACCTTGCCCCCTACCCCATAAATATCCCTGAGTCCCTATTTTTGGGGAAGCAGATTTGAGATTCATTCTCCCGTTTCCACACTTTCTGCCTTGGGATTAAACCCTCTCTCTGCTGCAATCTCGTCGACTCGATGTTTGGCTTTCTGGGCGGTGGGCAAAAACGGACCTGGTGTGGTAACAGAATTGCCAATAAATTGCAAAATAATGTAGATTTCCCTGTAACCTTCACCCAGATTCCTCTGATGTTAACACCTAACATCACGACCAAAAGTAATGTTAACATCATGCACAACCATTAAAACTAAGAAATTAATATTG